TTGTAAGTTTCTATAGAGGAGAACCAGTAAAACTTTTTCTGTTAATCCTCCTTTCACTGGAAGCCCAATAAAGGCTAAGATTTGAGCACCATAGAGATTTACCTTTTAACAAAATGTGCAGAGAAGTCTAGTGGCAAGTACTGTTTATATTACAGCTAAACGTAAATATATATCAATTCTCTGGAGAAAAGACTGATGCATGCATCTTTCAATAGGTGCATTTTTCAGCACTATTTGAATTCTATTGACCATGAGATCACTAATATTTCTACTCCTGAATAGTCTACTACTTCCAATAGTCATTTCTTAAAAGTCTCAACGAAATGTATGTACTCCACCCACCCTAACATCTACCCAGGAAGAGAGGTGGTCTTATTTTCTGTTTCTGGGATTGTAATTACATTAACTGAGAATGATTCCATTAGGGAGAGATTATTTGATAAGATAACATGATGCTATCATAACATCATCATCATGTTACCCTTTTGTCTCACAAAATGATTTTTTTTCTGAATTCTGGTTATTTCCATACAACTTTTGCTGATAAATGCCCTAGGATGCATAGGGGTCATACTTTGATTTAGTTACTCAACCAGTAGCTGGGAGTTCCATGAAAAGGTACCCACAGAAGCTCTGGTAATCCAGCATGCTAAGGACTGAAGGGACCAAGGAATTCTGAAGTTACGTAGGAAAAAGAGGCCAAATTACTTTTTTATTATCTTGGCACTAAGAAGTTGGTAGAGATTAATTTTCTGATTCTGTTGGTGACCTGCTTTAAGATCTTAAGCAAATTTGTTTACTTTTATGAATTCAGTTTCCGCTTTTACACTGTGGTTGTCAAGGGTTTACACATATAGTTTAACATAACTTATCACATGGGAATCTTCCAGCGGCTTCCATGTGATTACTTTATATGAGGAAATTTATATGAGGTAATTTATGTGAAGAAATTTAATGCTGCATGTAACCTTATAAGGGCTTGGCAATGAAATAATATAAATATATAATGAAATCTTTCTTACTTCAAACAATGTAAAAACAGCACGTGCATTTTGATGAAAAAACCCAAGCCTTTTAGCATTGAAGATCTGATTAACAGCAAAGATTTGATGACTGATAAGAACCACCTTTATTTTGAAATAGCTTCAAGGAGATTAAATCAATCAGTAAAGCAGTTCCACAAGGTATTAACGTTGCCATTAGTTATTGCTAAGAGTACAACAAAAATCACATGCTGAAGTGTTTAATTTCTTCATATATCAGATAACATTCATTACTAGTGTAAACTGAAATAAATTTTCCACATGTATTCACTGATTTTGTATGTTGCTGAATAAAGATGATATTGCCTGATCAAAAATAGATAAATCTTCCCAAAGCTTTGAAATGGCCTCCCTGGTCTTGTGCAATGAGATGTACCCAAATCCTAGAAAGACGGATGAAATACAATCACTCAGTGGAACTTTTGCTTTTGGTCTGCTGAAACAGGAAAGGTTATATAAAAAAAAAAAAACAAAACATGCCATAGTTTTTATCTGTAACTGCTGCTAAGCTGTTATTTCCAGCAAAAAGACAGATTCTTGGCACATGGCGGGTAGAGGATGTCTTGCTATGTGTCTAAAGACATGTTTGAGTCAGTTCAGATTGGTGCTAGCAATCAATTGCAGCTCGTAAGTACCTCATTACTCAAGATAAAGACTGGAGGGCCAAACAGCTCTTATGCTGTTGGAGATGCATGTAAATAGATAAGTCACTGGGTAATGAACCCAGTGCGTTTTACTGTGAAGACTTGCTGTATTACCTACACTCACATAAACCACTGTGGTTTTTTTTTTAATAAGATTTTCCCAATGCTTATTCTTTTTGGAATATTTATCTCCTCCATAATGTCTTTAGAGCTCAGGATAAGGGCATATTTGTAGGTATTGTAAAATAATTTTAGTCACCAGTCCCTTTTTCATAAGAATTCTGCTTGAAATACTGATCTGCAATGTTTTATTGCCATGAAATTACTGGGCCAAATCCTAAAAAAGATGCAAATTATTAAAGTTCTGGTAAGTTTAACTGATGTAAATTGGTATACTTCTACTGACTTTAGAGGAGGAGCAGCAGCAGATCTGACCCACAATAAACCCCTTGATCCTACTTCTTTTGTTTGTTTTGGTTGTAAAAGTAGAGATTTTTTTGGACATATCTACATTACTTGTAACAAGCTGATGAACATATCTGAAAATGAATCAACCTCTCTTACTGTATTACTGCACTTGATATGTTTTTCTTTCTTTAGACTTTGTTTGCTAGTGGTGGTGGTGTTTGCTGGAGATTGGGTGATGTTCCAGTTATTATGATTAATACTTCTGAGTGTGACAGGTTAAAGCTCACAGTATTGATAGAGTACATTTATACTTGTCAAATTCTTCTAAAATGAATAGTCCTAGCAGGAATTAGTATTTTGTAACAGCATTTTGTGTTCTGGAAAAATATCAATCAGCAAGGTTTTATTATCTTTCCTAAAATAACATATATAGGTTAGTTTTGATGCAATTATTCTAAAGATTTCTTCTCATTTTATATATTGATGCAAATGTGAAAGTGGAGGACAAGTTTGTCTTAAAAGTTTTCCCCTTATAAGTGTACACTTTAATCCTGGAGAGAAATCAAGCACAGTGTGAAAATAAAGTGGAAACAATAACATTGAGAATGAAGCACCCAAAATAGAATATCAACTAGTTTTTGAAAAAGGACTGTTAATAAAATACAAAAAATGTCAATTATAAGCTTCCCTAAAAACTATATATTAAATTAATCCCTATGCTTCCAATTTTAAAGAAACAAGTAGTTAATGTAGAAGTCAAGTGGTAGGGAAAACCACAAGGGAATATATTTCCTACACTACTTTATTGTGCATTAGAGTGAAACATAAATATAAGACCTTTCTTATTCTGTGTTAGTAACCTCTGTTTAGAAGTGCATGGAGAACAGAGAGCTGTCTGGGGCATTAAATAAAGTAGGAATAGGAACTTCAAGTTGGGGGAAACAGCACTGCATCGATCAATGCAAATGAAAACTTAATTGTCTGAAGTCCCCTCTTCTACTTTATGTGGGTCATTTACAGTAATGCATAAAATGCTGATCATTTCTTAAATATTTAAGCCAGTAATGCTAGCTAGATGGGCCTTTAATTTCTTTCTTCACCTGTGGCTATTGTGATTACTTCCATCAAAGTTTAGCTCTTTTTCATATTTCTCTGGAAACCTCTTGATCTCATTGCATTAGTTGTCTTCCTTTCTCAGTTAAATTCTTCATGTATTCCTATCTGATACTAATTTGTTCCTCTGGTTCAATGTATAGTCAAGAGAGTAATTTATTCATCTTCAATAGCACCACTGAAATCACAGAAGTCCTTGATGCCCTGATTTATTAAGGCACTTGAGGTCAGTGCCTTAAGCATGTGCTAAAAATGAAGCAAATGCCAGCACGACCTACAAAGGATTAGTCATCTGCATAATGGTTTGCTGGGTCCTTAAAAATACAAACTTGTGGAACAGATTTGCTACTGGTGTAAGGTTAGTGCAGCTATACTGAAAGCTAAATGATGCTGACAATGCTTTCAGTGGAATTATGACAAGTCTACACTAAGCCTTCCCTTTTTCTTGTCTTGTGCCATGCTATACATTATGATATGCCAAAAAATAAACAGTTAGAAAAATACTTCCAACATTTTTAATTGTTCATACACCATTTAGTGTTCAGCAGGACTATTAGCATCTCTATAAGGAATTATATTGTTACAGCATATCATTTTTTTCCATTTGATTTTGTAAGGTCCTACTGTCATGCTCTTTCACATTCGCTTGATAATAGGGTGTCTGTGGTGTCACTGCTACCTCACTGCTAATGAAAACAGGAATTGCAAATTGGATGAGACAAAACTTAGATACCCTAGATTTGCAGGTTAAAGTATTTCTTGTGCCATAGATGAAGATGTGTGTTTTGTATTAGGAAACTGTGGAGGAAACAAGAATTTATATTTTCCTATTGAATCTGAAAATTTTCTTCACTATGACTATGAACTCTTTTTTTTCTTTTCCCAAGGAGAACTGTTTTATATAGAGGTGTTTCTTTATGGTCTTTTTTTTGCTTATAAGAGGTGCCCCTCTAACTCATGTGAATTATTTTGATTATGAGAATATATCCTTGAAAGCCAGCTGGCAAAATTTTTTAAAAGTCAAAGACCTATTGCAAATGCTTTATTTGGCAAGAATTCACACTAGCTATATAGCATATCTTTTTGCAATTAAAACTACAAAGTTAATTCCAATGTATCAGAATAATATTTTTAAATTTTTAGGAGAGATTACAGACTTTTATATAGTGCATTTTGCAGATATTTAGAACAGTCTCTTTGTAAATTTTGTTTGAAAAAAAATGTTCTGTTTTAGGGGCAGCATTATTGCATTTCAGAAATAATATCCTGTAAAATGACTGTAACAAGGTATTTTATCTAAAAGCCCATTGTAGCTTCTTATGATGAGTTTCAAGCTTCTGCAACAATAAAACTGTTCTTATTCAAATGTATATTATTGCATTCATTCCTCTAATAGCAGCATTGCATCATATCAACCTATAAATAGACAAAGAAACAATTGCACAGAGTACTTGTTATTCATCCCCAATATTTTTATTTTGTTGTTAAATATCAGACTTTAGAATAGTCATATGGAGCATTGAATACAGAAAGAAAAAAAGTTATTTCCTCTGAGTACATACGTGCTTTCTGTGTTTCCCTGGGATATAAAAAGTTACTGGTTTAGTTCCATTGGTCATTTTTATTGCTTTCCTGAAGGCAATGGAAATTGCACAAGGCTCCATATAAAAGCATCTCAAAGTGTAAATTAAATCTATGGTATAGTCTTTTGTAAATAGAGAAGAATGTACTCTTAGATAATAAATCTTTTTTGTGTATATCAACAAGATGTCTATTTTTTTTTTCTTCCTAGATACACCTTTAGTTAAAATCATTTCTTCCAATTCATGGCCTGAAGAAGGACAATCTATAATTTTGACTTGTGAATCCAAAGGAAAACCAGTGTAAGTGATTTAACAAGTAATATGTTTTTGTTATTTTCCTTATTCTGCTGTGATTGCAATCTTCAGCTGCAGAAATCTGCTGGTTTTGTCTCTTCCTGGGGTGTAAAGGAATCTCTGGTATAGAAAACCCCTTGAAGCCTGTCTTCATTAAGTGTCTATAGAGGATTGGTCTTTTACTTTGTCATCTATTTTAGTTTTCAAGAAGAATTCCAGCTGTGAGATATTTTTTTTTTTTCAGTCAGGTATATCAACCTGAAAGGAGTGCAGGCTTAATCAGTCACTGTTTACATCATTGAACTGATGATAGAAGAGAAAACGTCTCATGAAAATCTTCCCACATCAGCTAGCCTCAGAGAAAATATATTGAACTTTCTGGATGCTTTGGTTGTCATTTACAGGGGAATTTGAAGTTTAATGATATGTGCAAGTTGGCTGCCTCTTTATACCAGAATTTGAAAAGATGTAGCCTTCTTCAAGAATATAAATTGTTTTACTTGGAAATTAACATCTCTGCCATCAATGTTTTTAAAGGCAGATTTGCAGTGATTAACTCTTGCACAGAATCTACTATTTAAATAGACTTCACTCTTTAAAACAGTATCCTCAGATAAGCTGTTATACATTTTACCATAAAGATACATAAATAATCCAATTGCTTATATTAAGTTAGTATGAATTGTTTCTTAAATATTGACCTTCTGCTCAAAAGATTAATATATAGTGTTATATGGAGTGATGATACACAGCTTTAGAATGGTCTTGTACTTCTGAAGTATTATGTGCTTCTGAGATAGATACCTCTGTAGGTATCTCACAAAAATCAGCTACAAGACATCTCTTCCTTTTATACTATACTTGAAGGAGAAGGAATAATCCATTTACCTAATAGCCTTTGAGAATTTCCCTAGGTATCAGGAGGTACAGAGTCTGTTTCCCCATTATCTTCAAATTCAGCAGAAGATGTGCAAGTGCTCATTTTTAGGAAAGAGGTCAGCCCTGACTGCCTCGAGTGCGCTGTTGGCTAGGGGACATTTAGGATTTTCCATCTCAATGTTTTTCTCATGATGTAACAGGTGACAGCTACATGCCAAGTGCTCTCTTTGGCATATAGACTTCAGGCATCCTAGCTCCAGGTGCTTAATTTTAACTATTCATCTAACATTCACTGTAGGGATAAAGATTAGAAGTAAGACAGCAATTATGTACTTTTATATTATTAATTACCTGTTGCTTGAGGGGGGGAGCAGTTTGGCCCTTCACATTTGGAGTCTTTAAATAATAAGAAAGTTTGGTGGTTATGAGTTGATTTCTTCTTTTTGTTTTTTTTTTTTTTAGTTTTGTGAGAGACAGTTGGATGATTTGACAGATGAATGTAATTTCTATATGGGGAGGAAGGAGGAATAGGTGTATAATACCAGCTAGGGGTTCTAGTTCTCCAATGATTTCACCTGCCTCTGAGTACTACAAGGAGGCATGATGCTTTTCAGTTTCTGAGAGTACGGGAATAATTTCAACTGTCTTTAAACATCTGCACAGTAGTTATTTATACCTGAGCTGCTCACTTGGGCTTCCCTTTGCGTTCAGTGGAGAGATTTAGGCACTGTTATGACATGACTGGTCTGCTCTACATTAGACAATTACAGAAGAAAGAGCCAGACTGCATCATACCTCTGCTACTTTCTCTTCACTAACTACATGGAGTTTAGACAGTTAATTCAGTCAGATATCTACCTCTATATTTTGGGATACCAAATATAGATATCTAAATATAGACATTTATATTAAATTTTATATGTATGTTTAATTTTGGTCAGGTGCATCTTGCTCTTTGTCTACATTGAATATTCATAATCTTAATTGAAAATGGGCTAACATTTTTTTTCACATGCCAAAGATGTTAGACTGTCTTAAAAAAAGAGACAATTAATCCTAAGACATTATAGATTTTCCTTTAGACCCCTGTATTTGTTAGTCATTTCTGAAGGCAGTAAAAAACTATAAAAGCGGTATGTTTTAGCTTGACATACACAATATTTTCTATTTGGTACATGTAATATTATAGATGTACTTTATACGTTACCATTAGGAGACACTACTTAAAACATAATAATTAAAATGGTCTTTACTGATTTATTTATTTATTTTTAAATAAATTCAGTGGCATCCTTAATGGATTCAAATGCAAACCTCACATGTGGTTTTGAAAGGGCAGCCAAATAAAAACTCCACACCACAGAATTATCAAGGCAGGGCACCTGTATAAGGTAGCCTTTGGGCCACAGATATTTTGCCAATAAATGCACCTCTAATTGTCCATGCCACAAGAACCACCAACATCAGCTGCTCCATATTGCTTCATTAGGTCAGTCTTTCATGGCGGAGAGCCAGAAATAAATAGGCATCCTCCTGGGAGCAGTCTGCAGTTGCTTAGCATGAGAAACAGTAATGTTGTGCCCCCAACCTACATTATGATTAACTTCTGGCTTGTAGAGAGAGAGAAATTGGAGCGGTCCGCAGAGCCCAAACTTAGCAGTGTCACAAGATAAGTGATGAACCGTGGGCTTCATGGGAAGTTCAGAGCCAACCATGATCCTTCATAGCCATTTACACACCACGGGTTAATTTCTATACACTGTCAACTTCGTGTCACAATTACAACAGTCTCTCCTGTTTCCTGTAGGCAGCAGTGAATCATACCACTGAATGAACACTTACTTATAGGCACATTTCTCTTGTAACCCAGAGCAATTTTCACAAGCTTCAAAATACATTTGAGATGAAAATGGAGAAAGAATAAAGCCAGGTTGTGGCTGTGGTGACATTCATGATACTAATACCTGCTGCAGAGTAATTCTTTCCCAAAAGGGAAAAGCAGAATGAGGCTAAAGCTAGAACGTACTTACCCCATCTTACAGCTCATCACCAAGCCCCTCCTTGCAGGGATTCTGTCCCTCAGAGCATGTGCATCATGGATACCCAGATATTGTGTTTCAAATCTACCACACAGTCCTAAGAAAAAGTCCTACCTAAATTACCATCTTATAGTAGGGAATGGGAGGGAAGCCATGCTCAAACCAACACCTCTGGGAAATCAACTGCCCTCTGCATCTCCTGCTGAAACAGCATCCCCCAGAGATATAGCAGAGAGATGAGGAACAACTGTATACTAGGTGTTAGAACCGGAGAACTAAGGCCCTGCTAAGGTTTCATAGTTTAGGGTATAAGATTTTGAATGACCAGTCGATGGCCATGACTTTAGACAAGAGAAAAAATGGCCTCAGACACTTGTGTGTGTGCAGCATCGACTGTCATAATGCATGAGACAGGCTGGAATTATCCCAGACTCTGAGGTTGCTTGTTGCTGTGAATGGGTTCATGTCACCTCACATTTGTGCTCTTGGTACAGAGATACCAATGTTGGAACAGGAGTCCTTAGAGTGGGCTAAGGGGTAGAGGAGAAATTGGGGAATGGGAGAGGGGGTGGAGAGGAAGATGGAAATGTGGGTGAGCCATTTTGAATGATCCAGTGAGGCAACATGAGAAGGTGTAAGATGGGATGCACAAATTCTCTAACTGCACTGTTTTATCTCTCTGCTCACCACTGTAAGGATGAGGATAGCTCTGACTCTGGTCATCACTCTGTGCTTATTGCTATTAGGGGAATTACTTTGAAGGCAGGAGCTGTTCTTCTGCGTAAGCACTGCATTGCTGCTATAGAAGTGTGATGATACCAATAAAAAGAGCAGACCAGGTTCTGCAATGGTTTTGCAGAGGCAGGCCATGTGGGGGATTAATAAAGTGTCACAGATCGTTATAGAGTCTGCCACAGTTTCCTCTAGAGTATGTGTTGTGGCTGGTGCAGCTTCAGGCAGAGGTAGGCTGCCTGAGAGGTGCTGGGGAGGTACTGCAAGAGCCATAAGTCCTTGGGTTTGCCCCTAGGGGCTCTGATGGGACATGTGTCATGACACCAATCCCACGTGGTGAGATGACATACTGACCACAGTGCTGAGTCAGAATGGGAGTGGTAAGATGGTGAGGGGAGGAGGCTTCCTCATACATTGACTTCCAAAAGACTTGCCTCTTGCTTCCATATACAACTCTGGCTAAATTTATTGCCTCTAGGATCTAGCATCCAAGCTTGAGTAGTCTCTAAAAAAATCAAGTTACACTCATGGACACAGAGCTCTGGATTTGATGATGTTCTGATGCAGTTTGTGTAGCACTTGAGGCACCAGTTATAAACAGTGTAAGGGTGGTATTTGGAATATTGTATTCATAAAGATATGACATGTTCAATTAAAATTTTCTGTTGGTGGAAAGGAAAAAAGAGGAAATATAATCATCAGTTTACCACAAAGATTGTTTTTAAACAGACTTTATAAACACAACTCACGATAGAAACATACCCTATCTGTAATATTTTAAGGGAACTTGAGAGAGCATTTGTGAGGATTGTTGTCCAATTGATAGATCTCTAGTTGGTAGACGAAATTAAAGAGTTTTCTTTGGGAAAAAGTCTAGTAGGTGTGTTTGTGTCAGAATAGTCTTTTCTTATGCAAGACTCAGTTGCTGGTTTGTTCACCCTGTTGACAATTTTAATAATATTGACAACCAGGTTTGTTTTTTTTTTAAATTGTAGATAAAAAAGTGTTTAGCCATTTCTCTGCATAACTTAGATCAAGACACCCTGTAGTTGACATCACTATTCAATAGCACTCCTATTTTGGAGATACTACTGTAGAGTTTCAAACCAAATTGAAGCTAATCTCTTGTCTTTCCAATCCTTGGAGCTAGTTTGTCTTTTCCAGTATTTTTGGCTGGATCCCTGGACAGTTGTCAGGCTATAACATTTTAGTAAATGAATGTGCCTAGCATGTCTGTAAGGTGTCAGTGGCTCTGTTTAATTTATTTCTTCTTTAGCATAATATAGTTTAACCTAGGCTTTGTTTATTTTCCAAAGAAGAAAATGTAATTAAGCTTCAGAAATCATAGACATCCTT